AGAGAGAGAGAGAGAGAGAGAGAGAGAGAGAGAGAGAGAGAGAGAGAGAGAGAGAGAGACGGGATGTGTTGGAGAGGTGCCTTTCTTTTATTCTTCTGAGCAATTTTGGTATCTAGCGCAAGTCGCCCTTGTTTTCTTTTGAATCAGCATCTCGGACTTTTCCTTTGTTTGTCCCCGAGGATTGGTGTGTGATTATCTTCCTTGCTTTCCCTCGGTATGAACTAACAACTTGATGAGTTAATCACCTGCGATCGAATTTTGTATGAGTTATGACCAATAGCCGTGATGCATGGAAGATTGCCAACTCCTCTTGTGTGTATTTAAAGTTGGATGCATGAGAGAGAGAGAGAGAGAGAGAGAGAGAGAGAGAGAGAGAGAGAGAGAGAGAGAGAGAGAGAGAGAGAGAGAGAGAGAGACGGGATGTGTTGGAGAGGTGCCCTTCTTCTATTCTTCCAAGCAATTTTGGTATCTGGCACAAATCACCCTTGTTTTCTTTTGAATCAGCATCTCGGATTTTTCCTTTGTTTGTCCCCGAGGATTGGTGTGTGATTATCTCCCTTGCTTTCCCTCGGTATGAACTAGCAACTTGATGAGTTGATCACCTGCGATCAAATTTTGTAGGAGTTGTGACCAATAGCCGTGATGGAAGATTGCCAACTCCTCTTGTGTGTATTCAAAGCTGGATGCATGGATGTTTGGTGTTTTTCTGTCTGAGTGTGAATAAGATAGGCATGCTAGATGATTAGACGTTTGTCTCACTATAGGATTGCCCACTTTCGGGTTAACGGGTCCGCACGTACCAGTTGCGCGCTGCTAACCTTCATCTACCCGATCCACGGACAGTTCTTGTGCATGCATGTGTAAGCCCGACACGAGGAAGGTTGTCACTTACACGCGTGTCTGCAAGGCTTGTACCCGACCCACTTTCCGAATGTCTGAGTTTCCGCCCACCTTGCAGCATGATCATTGACATCCCTTTTCGTATCACTGACCGCGAGCGTTTGAGAGATTGAGAATTCCGAGAATATTGGGAGCACGTATGTCTGTCTGCACGATCGAGGAGAGAACTTCCGGAATTTCCATATCCGAGGGGGAATGAATGTCTCTGTGAATGGGATCTTGGTCGGGCCCTAGAACATATTCCCCACCACCCTGACCTTCCCAACCCGTACACATGTCATCTCATCGTGGAGCCCTAAATAATCATACTGGAAACTGACTTCCCTCCCTATCACCTCGTATTACCCCTCCACTCCCTGACTATCATCCCCTGGCACGCAATCGTTCCCTATTGGCCCCAACCCTCATGCTTAGAGTGCCTACGGGACCGCGATTACCGAGCGTCCGGCTTCATCCAGCGAACTCACTCAGAGAAGGAACGACGGATGCACAGTCTTCGGCTGAGGCCGGCCTCGTCGGATTCAGAGACCTGTGACGTTCGCTGTCGGCAGGTGATCAGTCAGCCAAATAGCCATAGTGTCCCGACAGTACACGAAATACGAGTCCGACCCAGACCACGGAGCCAGCAAAGGAGGTAGCTCCACATTTCGAAACACAAACCCGGACTGCGGCCGACGCTTACTCTCTTTTGCATTCCTATCCCTGAAACTTGCCACAAGGGATCTCAGTTTCGATCTGGGACTCCACCCCCACTTTCCTAAAATCATTGGCGCACCCCCTTTTTCGCACTTCCAGACCCACACCCACTTCGATCAGGAAGTTGCGCCGGGCGTGAGGTTGGTATCGGAGCCGACACAGGGGAAGCCCGAGACTGCCAAGTGAGGAAGCCGCATAGAGCGATCTGGCAAACAGAGGACGGGCTAGGCAGAGGAACGCGCCACAACGCGACCCTATAGTAACAAGGAGTAGATCGGTCGGACGACAGGCTGCTAACATGAACGCCAACCCGACACCCAATGCTGGCGGGGCTCAAGCCCCTCGAGCTCGGGCACGTGCAGCACCGCCCGACTTGTACCTCTTTGACCCCGCACATCATTTGGTTGGAGGATGGCTGGCTACGCTGTGTGCGCAACAATACGACAATGATGAAACTCGAATTAACATCCCCACCCGGTTAGGAGGGGATGCACACCATTGGTTTAGCACTTACGCTTGGGTAGATCTTCCGACCTTCGAGAGGGACTTCTTACACCGATTCGATTAAATCCATCCAGATTAGGCCTTCTTCATGATCAAGGATCGAGTTCAGAAACCCCTCGAATCTGTCACCGAATACCGTAGTAGGTTCTATAGGTTGTTCGTTAAGTCAGAACGAGGAGAGGAGGTCGAAAGGGATTTGTTCATCGATGGGCTTCGTAGCCGTGCAATGAAGGCAAAATTGTGAAAGCATTCTCCCCAATCAATTACACCATGCAGCAGATCATGGACGCTGCCGAGGAAATGGAGCGAAAGTTTGCCGCTAACTTCCTAAAAGGGAAGACCACGCTAAGGAGGGGGATTCCTCGAAATTAGCCAGAGCAAAGGCAGAGTTGGTCGCGCTCCAAAATAAATTTGAAAACACGGGCTTCGTTGCCAATCCCGTCACTTATCTGGAACCAGTTGGAGCTAAGCGATCGATATCAGATACAACCACGGGACTGCCTATGATGGTTACGCCTCCACCTTCCCGGAGTACCCCTGGGAAGCCAAGCGAATCCAACGCGATACTTGAACTAACTCGAACACTAGTTAGTCTGATGCAAGAAAGTAAGAAGGACCAGCGCGAGCACAATGCTCAGATATAATCTTTGATGAGGTCGATGCGCCCCATTGTCGTCCGAGTTGCACCGATAACATAACGAAAAGCCCCCGCTCAGGCTGTGGGCGGTGCGGCGGCTAATCTGGGCGTCTGCTACAAGTGTCACCAGCCTGGCCACATAGTCCGAGACTGTCCCCACCACTCGACGCAAGTCCGAGTGGGAGCCACCCCTGTGGTAGCAGCACCTGGAAGCAGCGGAGCTTATCCCGCTTGACCAACATCTCACTAGGATACCCGGGCTGGGAATGATCGGAACCATCCGCCTCGCGAATGAACAACGTCAAGTAACGGAGTGGAGACCGTCTACTGGAAAAATGGAGTCGGATGGTCCCGCGTTTGTCACAAGTGAGATTGACGTCCTGAACATAGTCCGAGCTTTGGAACACTGAATTCCCCTGCCCATCGGGCACTTGCTATCCATATCGGAGCAAGCCAACGAACGCATGCTGCAACATTGCAAGGTGAATTGGAAGCAGTTTGCTCTCACCAAGTTAGCAGCCACAAAAGGGAAAACCCCTGCCCATAAAGATAAACCCGATGTCCCCAGTACCTCGGACCCGATACGGTTAGGACTAATAAAAATAGACGATTATTTTCTACGCATTAAGGTCATCCCGTGGAAATCGGCGGAATGCGATATAGAAGTCTGGGGAATTTCGTACAATGCTATTATCGACTCAAGGGCCGCAGTCCTGGCCATCTCTCTGAGGATCGTCGAACGGGCAGGCAGAAGAAAATATATGATCCCGTTAGCGGAAGGAGATCACCTTGTCTCCGCTGATGAAGAAAAGATCAAGGTAGTGGGGAGGATGACAAATGTCGCGTTCTGACTGGGAAAAGTCCACGCCCTGGGGGATGTCGTAGTATTGGACGTTAACACATATGACATCCTCTTGGGACTGCCATCCCTCACCACACTACGAGCCAGCTGGATTTCGAAAGGCGATCAATCATCCTTCAAAATACAAGCGGGAAATCGTACGTTATCCCTATGCGTTCAACTCTCCGAACTACGTTACTTACGACCCGGAAAACTCTCATCGGGACCGGAGAACCAATCCTTGTGATTACCTGGAAGGAACCCCTCAAAGAGACGAACCAAAGGGGGAAGGGATCTAAGTTGTCAATTAGCTCCTCTGACAGCGAGGACGAAGCAGAACCAGTAATCCAGGATATGACGCATCAACTGACTCGCTACCAAGTCTGACAGAAAATGGCGAAAATATTTCTCCTTATAGAAAGAAACCTTCAACGGACGCGAGTTTTAATCTTAGGGCAACCACTTGTGCAAGTATCTCGAATGGCCGATTCTTCGAAACCCCCTCGGACCTTGTACGAGGGCACCACCCCGCTTCACTCGAGATACAGTGACAAGAAGGCATTTTGCAATATTTGGGAACTACCTCGTTCCTTGCTCCTGCAGGGAAAGAGGTCCGATTGTTGCAACAGGGCGCTGAGAGCGAAACTTTGGAACCCCCTGGGCGCGGCAACCCTTACGAACTCATGGTCAAGATCGTCGAGAAATTCGTAAGCTTGCAGGACATCGACGATGATGTGACACCAGAAGAACACGTGGCAATCCGGGAAGAAGAGACCCAAATGGTTGCCACGGTGTTCTTCTTGAGATCGGATAACTCATTTATTTCAGCTCCCCCATCGGGGAACGGTAGCAAAGTGGGCACAAAACAACTGACGGTTAACATACACGGACAACTTTATGAACTGCATGTGCCCCAGTATGTGCCCGATGAAACCCACCGATTGATCGTGGACTTCCTCACCGAATATCAAGGGTCGATTAACGTTAAGGACACAGATATCAGGCTGTCGTTAGTTATTCAGCATGAAATCCAAACCGGAACGCACCCACCAATCCATTGTAAACCCTACCGATACTCCTTCGCGGAACGAAGGACAACATTGGAACGAATCAGAGAATTTGAAGCTAACGGTTGGATCGAGCCAGCTATTGGGGCCTTGGTTATTCTCCGTAGTACTTGTGTCGAAGAAAAATGGGTCGATTCGCATATGCATCGATTATAGGAAGTTGAATGACATCACGATTAAAGATGTGTAACCCCTCCCCCGGATTGATGATTTGTTAGATGCGATTGGGTGTGCTAATTATTTTAGTAAGTTTGATATTCGCTACGGGTTTCATCATATCCTGGTTAAGGAGGAGCATCGGCTGAAAACGACGTTTTATTTGAAGGTACTTGGCAGTGGATTCGCTGCTCTATGGGAATATGCAATGCGCCGACTACTTTCCAGAGAGCAATGAATGTCACATTTTAGAACTTCGTTAACAAGACTAGGCTGACCCAGGGAATGGTCAATTTTTACGTCATTGTGTACATGGACGATATCCTGGTGTATTCTGAATCATTTCACGGACACGCTCAGCACATCGAATGGACACTTGCGGCATTACGGGATGCTGGATTCAAGACCGCATTGGAGAAAAATGGATCTCGTTCCTAGGATATGTGGTGACCCGAGGGGGTTTGAGACCAGATTCCAGAAAGGTCGAGGCGGTTCGAAACGCCCCGACACCTACGTCACTGGCGTAGGTCCGAGCCTTTCTGGGGCTGGCCTCGTATTACCGGCGATTTATCAAAGGGTTTCCGGTGATCGTTCGACCTCTGATAAACCTTCTATAGAAGGACCAACCACTAAAGTGGGACGCGGAGTGCGAACAGACCTTTGTCATTTTGAAGGAGACCCTAGCCTCCATGCCTATTTTGATTTGCCCCGATCCTGAAAACCAATTCAGACTCATCACAAACTGGCAGCCCGAGGCTATCTCCACTATTTTGGCTCATAAGGGGAAGGACGACCGCGAATACGTCATCGAGTACGCCTCGCGAACAGTGTCCGACGAATGAAGGAACGATTGGGCCCCTCAGGGAGAATGCTACGCGGTCGTTTGGGGAATTCAACACTTCCATCCGTATTTGTACGGACAAAAGTTTTTCCTCGTCACGGATCATGAGCCCCTGTTGGCTCTCAAGAGGTTCACTAACTATACGGGCATGATTGAACCATGGGCTGTCCGGCTACAGGAATATGACTTTGACATCATCCATCGGAAGACAGAGAGGCACGGGAACGCCGACGGATTGACATGACTGCATCGACCAAGCAAGGTGGCCAAAGGTGAAGAGATTACTCCGTGGAAGGAGCCGGAGCCAACCAAAGGACCATCATACGGACAGGTGGCCATTCTCTTTCGAACCGCCAGGAAGTGATACGAGGACACGATGGCGATGGGTGGAGAAGGTAATTTTAGAAGCCACGTTTCTCCTATCTCATCTTCTTCTCTTCTCTCCTTGCCCGACAAATTTTGTTATTTCTGCGAAGCACTATCAAGAATCTATTCGGTTCCCATGCGTCATAGAGGGAAAGGTCACGGTATGTCGAATGGGTAGACTGTGGACAATGTGTTTCTCGGGCCCACGACTCCAGTATCCAATATAGGAATGCGGATAAATCTTGGTTATGTCCTTTGTGTCGTACCGAGAAGATCCCGATGGAGGCTCGATTCCTCGAAGCCACGTCCGAGGGGCTAAAAAAGACACGCCGGTTTCGGCGTGCTGAGGTATGAACAAATGTCGTCCTAATAGCTACGTTAGTCGGAACTCCCTCCGAGAATTCACCAAGGAAGATCGGAGGCGGGCCAACGAGAGGGCATGGGATTACCGATGGAACGACGGACGATTAGAAAAACGAAAGACGGATGGTAGTGGGATTTGGATGTCAGTGCCTCATCCGTTCATGAGGTACGACTGAGTTAAGTCGGCACACGAGGAAACTGCCACCCACTTTGTTGTCAGGATCACGGAGTCCGCAATTGACAAAAACGAATAGTATTGGTCCAATATCCAAGACGATGTTAAATTCATCGTTAAAATTCTCTGGTCTGCGTGGCAGATAAGGCACCGGTTCATCCGCCTAGGTCGATAGTGCCCACTGTAGTTGATCGGCCGTTCCAAATGGTTAGCATAGATACAAAGGATATTATCGTGGCCCCTGGACCGAATAACTGCGAATATTCAGTTCTTTTAGTATTTGTGGATCATTTCTCGAAATGGATCGAGGCCTACCCATGCAAAATGCGACAGACGGCGAAGATCGTGCGATATGTCAACCGCTTCCTCGAAATGCATCAAGACACAGAGGAAATCCTAACGGACAATGGGGCAGAATTCCGGGGAGAAGTCTTGAGGAGTTTGGTCGTACATGGCGTCTCCATTCGCAATACGGCGCCCCATATGTCGCAGTCGAACGGACTGGTAGAGAATGCGAACCGGGTGATTAAGATGGCTTTGAGGTGAAACATCGCGAGTACGGAGATGAGGCCTTGGCCCGATATCGTAGACCACATCCTAGCCATTCATCGAGGGACACCCCACGAGTCCACGGGCCTGATCCCTTTCCAACTACGGACCAATAACTTGGCCTGCATAGCCCTGTCGAGCCTGAACGACGAGACGACCCTTGGGCGACGAAGCACGAGGGTGTCGGTTAAGGACAAGACCCAATGCCACTTGGAACTGATGGAAAAGGCTCTCCCCCGGTTAGCCCGAAAAAGACAGCGGATGACCGAAATGGCCCACGGACGACAGGTCCGCAGCTATGAGGCCCGTAATGGGAACGCTGGACCTCGGCCTCAGTATAAATTAGGGGACATAGTGCAGGTGAGGAAATGTGCTCCCCAGGGCAAGTTAGCGCCACGATTCTTCGGACGATTCCCCGTAGTCGAGCTCAGACCTAGCGGACTGAACACGGTGCGGCTTCCACCGGAGGTCTTAGGAAGCCGATCGGCTCGACCGATCATTCGCCACGTGTCCTATCTTCGTCCCTTACCTTCTTCTCTCTCTCCCCCATTGTCTACTTCATCCCTTGATTCTGAGGAGGAAGACGACGATTCCGAACTCGAATATACTAATTCTCCTTCTTCCCAACCTTCGTCTCCACCTTCTCCTCCATCGCCATAAGCTTTTCTACAGAGCGGGTCATTAGCGAGCGTCTAATGAGACCTGGGGGCATATCTCGTCAATCCGGCAAGTGCAGCGACCATGGTTGAGTCCCGATCTGCTCCGATTCGCGGCGTTCTTCAGCACGGCGGTCATCCACGAGGCGACAAAATTTTGGTTCGCACGGACCAGCGAGCGAGCGCGAGTGTTGGCTGAGGTGTCGGCTTTTCTGCGGTTGTCTCCACTAGGCGTCAACCATGTTTCAGTGATCGTTGCCTTCAACGGCGATCTCGCGATGTTGCATCCATCGTCCGACATAGGCGTCCTCCGACAGTTGTGACTCTGGGCGCAGGATCTCACGACCACGTGGGTCCAGCTGTTAGCTCAGCCAGGCGATCGGATCGTTCCCACGAACGAAGTCGATATCAGCCAGCTCCGACTCTCGCCTGCTGCGCCGGAGGTCACCATCCCAGAGCTCCCTCCCTTACGCCGCCCCAAAGAACCGGCACCGCCTTTCAACTTTCGGGTTTCCCTCTGATCTCCCTACCTTCTGGCAGTCTGCTACGGACACCCCTCTATCTTTTCGAATCAGACAGCTGGACGTGCTGATCCTTAAAGTCGACAAGTGGATGGAGTGGTGGCACGTGTACATCGCGCTCAGTTTCTATCTCCTCGAGGTGGTGTTCCATTGGGCCGAGCTGGCCGACAAGGACAAGGAGGACGAAGTCCCCGACGATGAGGTGGAGATGCTGATAGTCCAAGCTTGGAGAACGGAGACGGAGATGGAGCTGTTGGGGATCCTGTTTGGAAAGGTGAGGGACGACCATGTGGAGCCAATCACGACTGAAATTGTGGTGTTCCTGGCACAAATCTTCGACGATCTGCCTCTAGACATCCTTTCACGCTGCGACGAGTGGCCTGCGCCGGCCACGCTTACCCATACGGTGGTAGCGCATCTGTTGTGGTCCATGTGTACGAAGCTCGATGGGAACAACTGCCATTACCCCTCCTCGGGCCACTATTTGGTTATTGACGTGATCGATCTCACCTTGTGGGATCCGATCATTCGAAGGGTGGAGGTAGGAGAAGCAGGAGACGAAGAAGAGGCGGAAGACGAGAGAAAGGAGGCGAGCGAAGAAGAAGAAGAAGAAGAAGAAGAAGAAGAAGAAGAAGAAGAAGAAGAAGAGAGCTCAGAGGCCAAGATCCGACGATCCCGACTACAACGAGTCGGAGGAAGCCGGGTCGGAAGAGAGTGCGTCGGGCGAATCAGGTGACCCCAGTGAGCAGAGCGAGGAAAATCACGAGGCCACAACACAGAGGAGGCGAGAGAGGGCAGAAGGAAAACGACCGGTGGAGGAATCAGACGGACCAGCAGCGCGGTTGTTACAAGGCGATCCGGTGCGCAACCCAGAGTCGTCGCAGGGGGAACCTAGCGGAGATGGCGTCGCCACCACGGAGGGATCCAAAAGCAGATGTCGTGGAAGAAGTCCTTTCCCAACTCAATCCTCTCCACCTCCATCAGCTTGCGGGCTTCCCCCTGTGTCCTTCTAACTGGCATCCTTTCCCACCCTCCCTCTTCCACCAACTCTACTCCACCCGTCTCATCGCCACCATCTTCCCACACGCCACCACTCGTTCTCTCGTAACCTCCTTTCCCCTCCACATCCTTCTCTTCAGCGTGGCATGGCAGGAATTCAATAATATAGAGATTTACTGTATAATCGCGGATATTATCCCCACGTGCGAAAAATATGAGAATTTTCATGTCGCGATTCCCCGCACCCTCTGTACCCTCTGTCCTGACTATCTCACCTCGCTTCCTCACCAAGATCATCGCTTCCCTCGCATCCACCGCACCGTCCATTACACCCGACTCCCCACTGAAGATCGGCAACTCTATCGTTTTCTGCCACCCCTCCCACAAGTTCACTCTCCTCTTCTCCCGCCCATCATAAGGTTACTCTTCCCCTACAACCTCTAGATTCGGAGCTCACGAATGCCACATTGGATGACGTCCACACTCTTATCTCACAGTAAGTGGCACGTGTAAGCTCCACATCAATCGTCGGTGTATGAATGATGGGAGAGCAAGCAGGAGCTTGCTCAAGATTGGAACTGCCTGGGCGTCACATATGTGACTAACTGTCTTCAGCGACCACGCGGCTTTCTACGCAGGGTTACTTTGGGTGTTGAGTGAGTGAGGAGGAGGAGAGGGCCCGCCATGTTGCATGAATGCCCTCATCTTTTTTTGGGGGGGGTTGAGGCTGGTATGGTCCGCAACAGTTGGTGACGACCACGCCTTAGCGAGTGCGAAGAATAATTGTTGCCATAGCTTTGTTCTTGTTCTACTGTGGGAATGGGGAATTCTGACGAGATCGTCGCGCGGAAAATCTTTTTTGAATTTTAACTGATGTCGAGCCCCCATGGGCTCTCGGAATTTATTTTCTTGTATTTCCTTTTTGCAATGAGGACTTAGGTTAGGAATTTGGGTACATTACGATGCTGCCGACAACTGCACTGCGCTTCTTGTTTGCTCGCACTTCGCCATGTCAGGGTCTATGCTCTGGTTTTCCTACGCCTTAATCCTGCATGTAACTGTAATTCTCTTCTTAACGAGTGCAAATGTAACTATAATTTTCTCTTTCTCAATATTTTTGTGCGCGCTTATTCTTCCCAATCCGATTGGCCTAAGGAATGCATGACTGGATCGATGCGTGGAGAGTGGCTATGTCCCCCACGTCGCGGCCTGGCCATGCAGACGTAGGCACTTCCTTCCTCCTACTTCCTTCCCTTCCAGACACGATCTCGGGTATCTCGCGCAAGCATGCATGCTATAAATTTCGCAAGTGCGATTAATTCCATCTCTATGAACTTTTGGAGTTAGCGTGGTTAAGAGGATTGGCTAACGAGCAAGTGTTGGAAGGTGAGTAGAGAGTTGGGCGATCCGACGGGCTGGCGCTGGGTATGCAGGGTTGACGTGGGTCCGCGACGGACTGTGGCGCACGGGCGAACCTGACTTGCATACCCGGACTAAGAGAGGTTACAACTCTGTTTGGGTATAAGGCGACGAACCGCCCGCATCGGGATGTTGTGAAAAGAGAGAGAGAGAGAGAGAGAGAGAGAGAGAGAGAGAGAGAGAGAGAGAGAGAGAGAGAGAGAGAGAGAGAG